ACACACACACACACATAAATACTGTGAGAGAGAAGAGTTTTCCCCTGACATAAGGAGCAGCTGGAAACCCCCACTGTGCTGTTATGTGTAAGAGTGTGTGTGTCTTTGTGGATAATGGCTCTTTTGTAACATGGCTGCCACTGTATATGTGTGTGTGTTTGTGCGGTTGTGCATGTGTGTGTGCAGCCTCTCACGGTTACAACAGCATCACTGACCATGGCAGAGAACTTGGCTGACTTGATTGACGGTTACTGTCGGCTGGTCTCCATGGAAACTCATTCCTTCATCGTCAGAGTTCAGAAAGGTATAAAAACCTTAGATCCCACCTTTTCTGTCCACCTCTTTAGGGTTATACATAAGTATTGAAATACAACCCTGTACACCTTTTTATTGGGTGTTTTTTTTTTATGCTCAAAAATATACTATTAAAATAAGTATTTAGTCATAAAACATTAGAAAATCCTGTATGTAGTCTTACACATTTATTGTGCTTCACGTTACTCATTCAGATCCTGATGATGTGTGTTTTTGTCCTCTAGAGGGAGAAAGAGCTCTGCCTTCCATCCCAAAGTAAGTACCAGTTTCATTCTTAGTATTGTTACTAAACACTAAACACTAAAATTAACATTACAGTAATCTATAAACTTACTCATATCACAACTGTAAGCCATCAGATCTGTAATTTCTCTCACACAAAGATGGTATATTGGCTGTTTGAGGCTTAGCAGTCCAGTCACACAATTCTGACCTTTCTGGAATAAAACATGATCTTTAGAAGTTCAGATAAACATAACTCAATAAACATACTCAATGTTTGCATGTAACAGTAAAGGTTGGCATGCAGCCAGGCTGATAACTCTGCCAACATTAATGACAAATAGCTGTTGAATTCATGATCATTCAAAATTAAAGGGGGGTCAGCCTCCTCTTCATGCTTTACGCCACAGTTCTTCTGAAAATAAAAGCTTGTTTAAGTTTATGTTGCATTTTTTTTGTGTGTTAAATAAGTGTAGTGCTGAAACAGATAGTTGATTGACAGAAATTTAATTATCATCAATTTTGATGTTTTATGAACTAAATTACTGATTGACTTAAAAAAAGAATTGACAGATTAACCTAGAATAAAAATAATTGTCAGTTGGAGACCAGTTGTCTTACATTGACATGGTAGTTAAATATAAATTACATCAAAACTCAGTTTAAAAAAGGTTTCATGCTCAAACTATTTACCCATAGTTCAACCTGCATTATTTTCTATTAGAAAAAGAGCCTTTTTAGAGGCTTTTTGGCTCAGAACGGCAGAGCCTTAAAAATTTTTTTCAAATGTGGATTTTTTTGTGTTTGTTTATCTCTGACAGTACGAGCCTGGAAGTTGTGTGTTCACATTTCACTGTCAGTTGATCAAATTCACAAACACAAACGTTTTGCTTACTTTTGGTCATTTCAACTCAAATCTCTCTCTCTCTCTCTCT